TCTCGATTTAAATTTTCAAACTGTCAAATCTGCACATTTATGAGACAATATAGAGATAAATCTGCGGTGCAGGGTCCGAAGAAATATATTACTAGATACCGGATATGTTCCTTACAAGCAAAGCACAGAAACATCTTTTAGAAACTAAACTACTAGTAGTATAGACCTGAATAAAAATCACCTACCTCTCTTCCCATAAATAATCATCCATCTTGAAAATTCTATACTGTAACCGAAAAACGCGATACTGTAAGACGTTCCCTACGGTGAAATTGTACTATAAATAGAGCAATTAAGATGAAGAAAGTAATTCAGTTTTCTATATTCATGCATGTGTGCTTGATCTGTTGTGTCTGTCAGTTACATGCTTACAATACCATAATTATGTATCTTAAGTTTAGCAGCGCATAATTCACTGCGTTTTAAAGACATAACGCCATTTGCATATTACAGAAGTGGATATTCATTTCCTTGCATATGACATTATTTCTCGAGTAATAATATTCATCGCCTTATGACATATTAAAATCTGAAATTTTACTTAGTCGGCGCTAATGCTGCAGAATATAAGCTATAAATCGGCAGGTAATAAAGGGGAGGACTAATTATCTTGCAAACTGACCAAGATCTGTTGGACATCAGCTGTATCATAAAACAATTGTATGCTTAATTTAAAATGCGAGATTAAGATAATATTTATCGACAGTTCAAATATTTTCCTATATTATCAAGTTCTTGTAAAACACGACAACGTGGATTCATTTCTTTAAATTTCATGTTTGAAATCGCGTTGTCCACCTTTACTGTTAGTACTGTTGTTAATATTTTAATTTAAGCATACTAAATGTAAATTCAAAGGGCAAAACTACAACGCGATTTCAAACATGAAAATTTAAAATTAAATCTTATATATTACCATCGATTTAGTAACTTATATTTTGCAGCTATTAGCGCCGACTAAGTAAATTTTAGGCTTATATCGTCATAAAGCGATGAACTCAAGAAAAACAAGTTCATTATGCTAGCAAATGAATATCCCACTTACTGAAGTTACAAGCTGTTATGTCTTTGAAAAAAGGCAGTGGACTTATGCGCTGCCTAAACTTATAGATACATAATTATTGGTATTGAATTTGCATGTAACTGACAGACACAACAGCATTCATTGCACACATGCTATGAATGATAGAAAAATGAATTTCTTTCAACTTAATTTGCCTCTACTAATAGTGCAATTCAAGTGGCGCGATTACAAAAACATGGATTCCTGTGAGGGGGGGCGGGCTGACATATGGGGGAAGATTTTTATTAAAAATAACGCAACAGGCGAAAAATTGCTGCATGTTTGAAGATTAATAAAAATTGTATGAATGTGTTTTTATAGCTCATCCTTAATAGCTGGCAATGTACTTTGCTTTTTGTATGTGTATGCTTATGCCTTTTTAAAAAAAAATATTTTAGATGATATGAATAAGAAAAATATATGTAAATTGGTGGGCGTAGGAGGGGTGTCCCCTCCCATAGACTGAGCAAAATTTTGAAAATATGAGGTTGTAAATGTGTTATTTTCTTGACTTTCTTGTGCTGTTTATGGTACCTTTTGCATGGTTTACATCACATTATATTTTGTATAGGTTCAAGTGTTTGCAAAGTCTTTCAAATAGAATTCCTCGTGTGGCTTTTAGTAGTTAAGCATTTACAAAATAACAGCACACTTAATTACTATTGTATGCACAACCGTTGATAAAAAATAATTTCAAATTACTTGATCATTTTTTATATGAATTGAATTAAAGTGGTATTTAAAATACTGCCTTTCTATGGTACAAAAAAAAATTTCAAACACTTATATTTTCAATAAGAATTTTTTCCATCAATGAATCCAGAGGTCACTACATTTAAATTTTATTATAAAAATATAACTGTCATAAAAAGTTATTAAATGTAAATGACCAATCCATTTCATCTTAATAAACAATATATTAAATGCGATCCTTTAATATATATATTCATTAAAAACTCGCCAATTTTTAATTTACAAATAAGAATTTTCAATTTCTTTAATTATAGGGCTTTCGTAAAGAAAATTGGAAAAATTAAGATAGTAAAAATATAATGTACACATCTGTTTTCCACTATCTGTGATATTAATTTCATTAGATTTTTGGAAAGTAATAAACCAATCAATTATGCATTTTTAACATTTGAAGTCATTCAAGCATGTTGATAGATAAAGATCTCTGCCAAACCCCCAAGGCATGAGATTTTACAGCTGGATGACAGCCCAATAAATATTTTGAATAAGGCTGAGTACACTACAGCAATAACGTTTGAAAACTGAAAAATTATTCCAGCCCAGCTGGTAAAGGGATCCTTGCGGCCGAGCTGGGGGGGGGTGCTGCAGCCCTAGCTGTAGCCCGCGCGCTGAATCCGCTACTGGTGAATTTTTGGTCATATTGCATCATCACTTTTGTATTGTTCTGCGCTCTTGCTAAAAAGCTTTTTCGATGCACCATACCGCATTTAATTAACTTTGCTATCTTGAGAAAATATTAGAAATGATAGTTGTTTAACGTCTCGCAATTTCCGACTAAAAGGGCCCGCAAAGAATAGAGGAATTGATAAAAGATTGACCTTTGATTTCTGTCAGAATGTTAGTCACTTTCATGGTATTTCTGCCATCGACGGCAGCATTTAAAATAAGTATTCTGCCTACAACGCAGCATTTTCTTCAACCTGACCATGATTGAACGTCTGATAAAACTTTCAAGAAAAAAGACTCACGGGATAGATATTTGGCTTGCGTGACCCAAATGCATGAACGTCTATATTAATAACACGAAATCCTGCCATTTTAGTTAAAACTTGGAGATAGTTTTTGAACAAAAAAAAACAGACATTTTCACGGATTTTTCCGAAGCTGTCACTTTTTAAGCTGTCACTTTTAACCTGCTCAAATAGTCTAAAAACAGAAAACTAGTCAAAAAATTACCTAATAGTTTTCCAGTCAATAGACAATAGTTTCATAGCAATGAAAGGGGCCGTATTTGTGTAATAATACCAACCAAAATTTATAACCTACCTGAACCGCAGCGGGTAAAAGTTCAGCTATCTGCCATCACTGCAGTGATCTGCAATCACTGCTGCGGTAATACGGTGTGATAATGGTTACCGTTATATAACTATGACACACTTAAGCGTACACTTATCCAAAAAACACACGATTTATGGTGACTGTTATCAAACAGCACATTTTTGTGTAACTGTTATCATACAGCACACTTTTATTGGTCACTAAGCTGATATCAAACACACACTTTAATTGTACCTGCTTATAATAAAGCACACTTTTGTGGGTAACCGTTATAATATATCACACTTTTATGCGTAAATGTTATCATACAGCACATTTTTATGGTCAATGTTATCGTACAGCACACTTTAATGGTTACTTTATCATATAGCACACATTCATGGCAACTGTTATCACGCATCACACTTTTATGGTTACTGTTATCATACAATCACAACTTTTATGGTTACTGTTAACATACATCACACTTTTATGGTTAACTGTTATCATACATCACACTTTTATGATTACTGTTATCACACTTTTATGATTACTGTTAACATACATCACCTTTTTATGGTTACTGTTAACATAAATCACACTTTAATGGTTACTGTTATCATACATCACACTTTTATGATTACTGTTATCACACTTTTATGATTACTGTTAACATACATCACCTTTTTATGGTTACTGTTATCATACATCACACTTTTATGGTTACTGTTATCAAGCATCACACTTTTATGGTTACTGTTATCACGCATTACACTTTTATGGTTACTGTTAACATACATCACACTTTTATAGTTACTGTTAACATACATCACACTTTTATGGTTACTGTTATCATACATCACACTTTTATGATTACTGTTAACATACATCACACTTTTATGGTTACTGCTATCATACAGCACACATTTATGGTTACTGTTGTCAAGCATCACATTTTTATGGTTACTGTTATCACGCATCACACTTTTATGGTTACTGTTAACATACATCACACTTCTATGGTCACTTTTATGATACATCACAGTTTTATGATAACTGTTATCACGCATCGCACTTTTATGGTTACTGTTAACATAAATCACACTTTTATGGTTACTGTTAACATACATCACACTTTTATGGTTACTGTTATCATACATCACACTTTTATGATTACTGTTATCACGCATCACACTTTTATGGTTACTGTTAACATACATCACACTTTTATGGTTACTGTTATCATACATCACACTTTTATGGTTACAGTTATCACGCATCACACTTTTATGGTTACTGTTAACATACATCACACTTTTATGGTTACTGTTATCATACATCACACTTTTATGATTACTGTTATCACGCATCGCACATTTATGGTTACTGTTACCATACATCACAATTTTATTGTAACTGTTATCATACAGCACACTTTTATTGTAACTGTTAGCATATATCACACTTTAATGGTTACTGTTATCATACATCACAGTTTTATGGTCACTGTTATAATACATCACACTTTTATGGTCACTGTTATCACGCATCACACTATTATGAATACTTTTATCATACAGCACACCTTTGTGGTTACTGTTATCATACATCACACTTTTATGGTTACTGTTATCATTCAGAATTATAATTGTAAATTCTTAAATGCGATTTGTGTGGCTTATTTTATATTCGGTCACATTCCCCATTGAAAATAGTATTAGTCATTAAGTAAACAGTATTATGTCTTATTTTCAACAAAACTTCGCTGAAATTCAAGGTGTATAAGTAATGTTCCAAAAATACTGGAAAAAAACCCGGTTCTTTTAAATAGCACACATTCCATTACAATGGTTCAATTCTTGGATAGTGCGTATCATAATTCTTAGAACTGATTTAATAAAAGTTTAATGTTTCAATTATTCTTCAGATGAAACAAGGCAGGACAGACAGAAGAAAGGAAACATTTTTCAGAGGTTTTTTGAGAGGAGACGTTATAACCGGAGGAAAACAAGTAAGATTTTGCTTAAATACGCTATGCATGTGACTTCCATAATTGATACACAGTCAAACCTTTGTTAGAGACAAACTCCGATTTGAGACTACCCTGTAAATAAAGACCACATTTTGCCATTTTTTCATTGAAAAAAGAATATTCCGAATAAAGACCTTTTGTCTATAAGGATCATGCATGTTCTCACTTTGGATGGTCCTCATTTACCAGTTTGACTGTACTGTGTTGACAGATTGACTTTTCGCGGAGAAAAAATCAAGCTATTGCTACATGTTTTCCATTCCCGTTCCCGTCCGTAACAACATTTAGTTGTTATTGTTTTGTTGTACAATATTCATCCTCCGAAAACTCAGAACATTTCGAGCGTAACTCCGCTAGGCGGTTGTTCTTACATACTATATCTTCACCTGCAGAAAAATAATACCTGAAAACGTAAAAAAAATTTTAATAATATTTATTTTTATGTACAAGATTGCTTATGTTTTGTATCAATAAAGTACAGGAAAAATCAACAAGAATAAACTCACCTCGCCTTGCAATAATTGAAAATAGATGTCATGCTTAAAAGTTGTTTAACGAGAAATATTTGCAGTTAAAAGGATGTATACATCAATATTTTTTTTTCGTACGGACACCCATAATGTGTAAAAGTTGTTGCTGTAAAATTGAGGTGTATTAGCTATATTTTTCAAAATATCGACCATATAAATGCCAGTCGATCAATAACTGATAGATATGTAATAATAACAATAATAATAAATGTTTAGGATATATAATATTAACTGCCTAAAATATAAAAACTGACAAGAATACGGACCAAATACAAAGTTCTGGTAGCACAGACGAGGACACAATCAGGGTCTTTTCGATTATTGTCTTAGAAAACGGAAATAGAGAAAGACAATCGAAAATCTGTGAAAAATATGTTAGGTATATATTGACCTAACGGAGTAAACACTCAGGAATAATGCGACAGACGGCATACAACGACGCGACGGGCGTCGCTCAATGACGTTACGTCACTTCCTTTTTGGTTTGTTTGAATTATACAAACTGCCCAAAATATATAAAGATTAAGCTGGCGGAATATGATATTTGTCACCGGTATGGGGGCATAGGTGACCAAAATGCTTAGATAAATTGCAAACCTTATTTAGAAATTAAGTAAGAGTGACAAAGTGGCAATTTTCATAATTTTGGCGGCCATCTTGGACACCATCTTGGATTTCTCTGTTCGCCACAATATATGCCAATTTATGCCGGCAGATACATTTGAGAACATTTTGGTACATGACATGTCTTGTTAAAAAGGGTCCGGTAGCCCCTATAAATAGATTAGTTTCTTTTCGTAATTGTCACCTGACCATATGGCATATCAATTTTTGAGTTAATTTCTTCAAGTAGGTCAAACTGAACTTTATCTTGGCGTTCATACAAACTTGACTGGCATATGTTTTTTTTCCTCACAATTTGACATAATTTTTTTATCAATGGAGTTCTAAATACTCGGACAAACCATATAGATATCGTGTTAAGCAGATCAAGTATGTCATTGACCTTACATTGACCTTAACAGGTTAGGTCAAATCATTGAATTTAGCTAAGATTTGCATAATTTTGTAATTAATAGACTTATCTAATTTACATTGGAATAAATACCGCCAACAATACAATCCTCAAGTGTATGACATTGACCTTTGGAGTCAAATGATTGAAATTTCATACATTTGGCCAAATATATATTTAGAAAAGAATAGTTTGGAAAATAAGGGGATGATATTGATTTTTTTTCAATATACTATTATTTTTTTGTATTTCATAACAGAGAAAAGTAACGAAACCGATTCATCAGTACAAACAGAGGAGAGAAAATATCAAAATCACAAGAAGGGTAAGTTAATTCTGCACAACCATCTGATTAAGTAAAACAGTGCTCTTTGTCTGTCGTCTTCCTCGGAGTGTTGGAGTTATTAGCATCCTTCTTGCTACAAAATCTTTGCGATAAAGTGGCATCGAATCAGGTGATAACATGGACAAGGGCGGCTCTGCCGTCCAAATAATTTGCCAGATTACTTTTCTCCGGTTTCCATACGCTCCCTTCGCAGCTCACTGAATACACTTACGTTACTTCAGAATTTGAGTGATAGTGGAACATTCGACCGCTGCGCAGGAGAGTACGGTTTCCAATGCGACTTTGACATAAAAATGTGTTGATAAGTTGTGAATAATTCGTGTCTTACACATTAAGATTACTAGTTTTACAAAATTTGCTGGTAATATTTGTTGCCTGTCAAAGTCACAATTAATTTAAAAAAGTGTTGTTCAAAACTATTCATTGACGGTATGTATATTAACAATTATATATGTACGCGTCTAAAATTGGGGTGATCCCTCAGGAGAAAAGTCAACAAATTACACCAACATTGCAGACTCCGTTTGATTGAGTCTATTTATGACGGAAAATAGAAAAGTGCAACATCCTCTGCGCCTCTTTTCATCGGCTTTTAAAGCGGTATTCAATTTTCAACATTTAATGTGCTAGGATCAATGATCCCAAAGGGCCTGAAAATATAACTGAAAACTACCAACATACGATCATATGTAGTGATTGTAAGTGTTTGATTATATTTAATGAGTTTGTAATTATTTATAGAAGATTGCCTAAAATAAGGTAAAATAAAATGTCCGCATAAGATAATATCGAAAATATATTATATGATATAATAGCACTTATTGCAGCCAGATGATGTGAATTTTAAACGAAGGTAACGTTAAAAATACCTTTGTCAGTTCATCAAAAAAGCTACATGAAAACATCAAAAAGTCTGGGAAACAGAGCCATTTTCCACGTCAGATTTCAAAATTTTCTATGACAGGGGACTGACCTTTTAACAGATAATAGGTACACATTACCGGTTCAATGTCCGAAATTATGTGATGAACCTGAGATGTAACACTTATTTAAAAAGACAAAGGCCAGTATTATAGCAGACTTTTTAACTGTGACATCCATTTTACTTCATTTATCTGTCCTTTTATGTACCTTGAGTGTTGGTAAGCTTAAACTATTTCGACAAATTTCGTAAACTTTTTTATAAAAAGAAAGGCTATACTATTACCTATAATAATGGCAATTAACATATACATGACACTGTTAATTTCCAAACAATTACTCTAAACAATCTTTTTTGGCAATGTATGAAAACACCTGTTTGCGATTTGAATACAACGGTATGAATATAGCCTCTTTCCGCCAGATGGATAGAACGGTTCGAAAAGTATAAGCTAGTACCGGCAGGTTAAATATAAAGGTTATTATAGCCTCTGTCCGCAAGTTTGATATAACAGTCTGTATAGTTACATATAACGATACTTTAGCGTCTGTTGGCGAGTGGGTTATAACGGTATTTACTAACTCTGTCAGCAAGTGGGATACATCGGTATTTACTGCCTCTGTCAGCAAGGGGGTCATTACGGTGTTTATAGCCTCTGTCAGTAAGCGGGATATAACGGTATTTAATGTCTCTGTCAGCAAGTGGGATATTACGGTGTTTACTGCCTCTCTCAGCAAGTGAGATATAACGGTATTTACATCTTGTGTCAGCAAGTGGCATATAATGGTATTTATATCTTTTGTCAGCAAGTGGGATATAACGGTATTTATAGCTTATGTCAACAAGTGGGATATAACGGTATTTATAGCTTCTGTCAACAAGTGGGATATAACGGGATTTAAAGCTTCTGTCAACAAGTGGGATATAACGGTATTTATAGCTTCTGTCAACAAGTGGGATATAACGGTATTTATAGCTTATGTCAACAAGTGGGATATAACGGTATTTATAGCTTCTGTCAACAAGTGGGATATAACGGTATTTACTGCCTCTGTCAGAAAGTTGGTATAATGGTATTTATGCCTTCTGTAAGCAAGTGGATTAAAATGGTATTTGCTGTCTCTGTCAGCAAGTGGGATATAAGTATTTATAGCTTCTGAAGGCAAGTGGAATATTTCGGTATTTACTGCCTCTGTCAGCAAATGAGATATAACGGTATTTTTCTGCCTATGTCAGCAAGTGGGATATAACCGTACGTGTATATTCTCTGTCTGCAAGTTTGCAAGTTGAATATGGCAATATGTTTATTGTTAAGCTTAAATAGGCAAGTCGAAAATAGCATAAATGTATAGCTTATTTCGGCAAGTAGGTTATAACTATATGTTTAGCTTGTTTAGGCTAGTGGAATCACTATATGTTTGGCTTGTGTAGGCAAAATCACGATATGTTTATCTTGTGTAGGTAATTGGAATCACTATATGTTTAGCTTGTGTAGGCAAGTTGAATCAATATATATTTAGCTTGTGTAGGCAAATGGAATCACTATATGTTCAGCTTTGTGTAGGCAAGTGGAATCACTATATGTTTAGCTTATGTAGCCAAGTGGAATCACTATATGTTTAGCTTGTGTAGGCAAGTGGAATCACTATTTGGTTAGCTTGTGTAGACAAGTGGAATCACTCTATGTTTAGCTTGTGTCGGCAAGTGGAATCTCTATATGTTTAGCTTTATCGGCAAGTTGAATCACAATATGTTTAGCTTGTGTCGGCAAGTAGAGTCACTATATGTTTAGTTTGTGTAGACAAGTGGAATCACTATGTTTAGCTTGTGTAGGCAAGTGGAATCAGTATTTGGTTAGCTTGTGTAAGCAAGTGGAATCACTATATGTTTAACTTGTGTAGGCAAGTGGAATGACTATATTGTTAGCTTGTGTAGGCAAGTGGAATCACTATATGTTTAGCTTGTGTAGCCAAGTGGAATCACTATATGTTTAGCTTGTGTAGGCAGGTGGAATCACTATATGTTTAGCTTGTGTAGGCAAGTGGAATCACTATATGTTTAGCTTGTGTAGGCAGGTGGAATCACTATATGTTAAGCTTGTGTAGGCAAGTGGAATCACTATTTGTTTGGCTTGTTTAGGCAAGTAGAAACACTATATATGTAGCATATGTAGGCAGCTGGAATTACTATATGTTTAGCTTGTTTAGGTAAGTGGAATGTTTTTTTTCCTCACAATTTGACATAATTTTTTTATCAATGGAGTTCTAAATACTCGGACAAACCATATAGATATCGTGTTAAGCAGATCAAGTATGTCATTGACCTTACATTGACCTTAACAGGTTAGGTCAAATCATTGAATTTAGCTAAGATTTGCATAATTTTGTAATTAATAGACTTATCTAATTTACATAGGAATAAATACCGCCAACAATACAATCCTCAAGTGTATGACATTGACCTTTGGAGTCAAATGATTGAAATTCCATACATTTGGCCAAATATATATTTTGAAAAGAATAGTTTGGAAAATAAGGGGATGGTATTGATTTTTTTTCAATATACTATTATTTTTTTGTATTTCATAACAGAGAAAAGTAACGAAACCGATTCATCAGTACAAACAGAGGAGAGAAAATATCAAAATCACAAGAAGGGTAAGTTAATTCTGCACAACCATCTGATTAAGTAAAACAGTGCTCTTTGTCTGTCGTCTTCCTCGGAGTGTTGGAGTTATTAGCATCCTTCTTGCTACAAAATCTTTGCGATAAAGTGGCATCGAATCAGGTGATAACATGGACAAGGGCGGCTCTGCCGTCCAAATAATTTGCCAGATTACTTTTCTCCGGTTTCCATACGCTCCCTTCGCAGCTCACTGAATACACTCACGTTACTTCAGAATTTGAGTGATAGTGGAACATTCGACCGCTGCGCAGGAGAGTACGGTTTCCAATGCGACTTTGACATAAAAATGTGTTGATAAGTTGTGAATAATTCGTGTCTTACACATTAAGATTACTAGTTTTACAAATGTATTGTTCTTCAAAATTTGCTGGTAATATTTGTTGCCTGTCAAAGTCACAATTTATTTAAAAAAGTGTTGTTCAAAACTATTCATTGACGGTATGTATATTAACAATCATATATGTACGCGTCTAAAATTGGGGTGATCCCTCAGGAGAAAAGTCAACAAATTACACCAACATTGCAGACTCCGTTTGATTGAGTCTATTTATGACGGAAAATAGAAAAGTGCAACATCCTCTGCGCCTCTTTTCATCGGCTTTTAAAGCGGTATTCAATTTTCAACATTTAATGTGCTAGGATCAATGATCCCAAAGGGCCTGAAAATATAACTGAAAACTACCAACATACGATCATATGTAGTGATTGTAAGTGTTTGATTATATTTAATGAGTTTGTAATTATTTATAGAAGATTGCCTAAAATAAGGTAAAATAAAATGTCCGCATAAGATAATATCGAAAATATATTTATATGATATAATGCACTTATTGCATCCAGATGATGTGAATTTTAAACGAAGGTAACGTTAAAAAATACCTTTGTCAGTTTCAAAAAAAGCTACATGAAAACATCAAAAAGTCTGGGAAACAGAGCCATTTTCCACGTCAGATTTCAAAATTTTCTATGACAGGGGACTGACCTCTTAACATATAATAGGTACACATTACCGGTTCAATGTCCGAAATTATGTGATGAACCTGAGATGTAACACTTATTTAAAAAGACAAAGGCCAGTATTATAGCAGACTTTTTAACTGTGACATCCATTTTACTTCATTTATCTGTCCTTTTATGTACCTTGAGTGTTGGTAAGCTTAAACTATTGCAACAAATTTCGTAAACTTTTTTTATAAAAAGAAAGGCTATACTTTTACCTATAATAATGGCAATTAACATATACATGACACTGTTAATTTCCAAACAATTAATCTAAACAATCTTTTTTGGCAATGTATGAAAACACCTGTTTGCGATTTGAATACAACGGTATGAATATAGCCTCTTTCCGCCAGATGGATAGAACGGTTCGAAAAGTATAAGCTAGTACCGGCAGGTTAAATTAAAGGTTATTATAGCCTATGTCCGCAAGTTTGATATAACAGTCTGTATAGTTACATATAACGATACTTTAGCGTCTGTTGGCGAGTGGGTTATAACGGTATTTACTAACTCTGTCAGCAAGTGGGATACATCGGTATTTACTGCCTCTGTCAGCAAGGGGGTCATTACGGTGTTTATAGCCTCTGTCAGTAAGCGGGATATAACGGTATTTAATGTCTCTGTCAGCAAGTGGGATATTACGGTGTTTACTGCCTCTCTCAGGGAAGTGGGATAAAACGGTATTTATATCTTGTGTCTATAAGTGGGATACGACAGTATTTTTTCTTTGTGTAAGCAAGTGGGATATAACGGTATTTATATCTTCTGTCAGCAAGTGGGATATAACGGTATTTATAGCTTCTGTCAACAAGTGGGATATAACGGGATTTAAAGCTTCTGTCAACAAGTGGGATATAACGGTATTTATAGCTTATGTCAACAAGTGGGATATAACGGGATTTATAGCTTATGTCAACAAGTGGGATATAACGGTATTTATAGCTTCTGTCAACAAGTGGGATATAACGGTATTTACTGCATCTGTCAGAAAGTTGGTATAATGGTATTTATGCCTTCTGTAAGCAAGTGGATTAAAATGGTATTTGCTGTCTCTGTCAGCAAGTGGGATATAAGTATTTATAGCTTCTGAATGCAAGTGGAATATTTCGGTATTTACTGCCTCTGTCAGCAAATGAGATATAACGGTATTTTTCTGCCTATGTCAGCAAGTGGGATATAACCGTTCGTCTTTAATCTCTGTCTGCAAGTTTGCAAGTTGAATATGGCAATATATTTATTGTTAAGCTTGAATAGGCAAGTCGAAAATAGCATAATGTATAGCTTATTTCGACAAGTAGGTTATAATTATATGTTTAGCTTGTGTAGGCTAGTGGAATCACTATATGTTTGGCTTGTGTAGGCAAAATAACGATATGTTTATCTTGTGTAGGCAAATGGAATCACTCTATGTTTAGCTTGTGTAGGCAAGTTGAATCAATATATATTTAGCTTGTGTAGGCAAATGGAATCACTATATGTTCAGCTTTGTGTAGGCAAATGGAAGCACTATATGTTTAGCTTATGTAGGCAAGTGCTTTAATCACTATATGTTTAGCTTGCGTAGGCAAGTGGAATCACTATATGTTTAGCTTGTGTCGGCAAGTGGAATCACTATATGTTTAGCTTGTGTCGGCAAGTGGAATCACTATATGTTTAGCTTGTGTAGGCAAGTGGAATCACTATATGTTTAGCTTGTGTAGACAAGTGGAATCACTATATGTTTAGCTTGTGTAGGCAAGTGGAATCACTATATGTTTAGCTTGTGTAGGCAAGTGGAATCACTATATGTTTAGCTTGTGTAGGCAAGTGGAATCACTATATGTTTAGCTTGTGGAGGCAAGTGGAAACACTGTACGATTATCTTGTGTAGGCAGGTGGAATCATTATATGTTGAGCTTGTGTAGGGAAGGGAAATAACTATATGTTTAGCTAGTGTAGGCAGGTGGAATCACTATATGTTAAGCTTGTGTAAGCAAGTGGAATCACTTTATCTTTAGCTTGTGTAGGCATGTGGAATCACTATATGTTTAGCTTGTGTAGGCAAGTGGAATCACTATATGTTTGGCTTGTTTAGGCAAGTAGAAACACTATATATGTAGCATATGTAGGCAGCTGAAATTACTATATGTTTAGCTTGTTTAGGTAAGTGGAATCACTAGCGGTAAGCTTGTGTAGGCAAGTGGAATCACTATATGTTTAGCTTGTGTCGGCAAGTGGAGTCACTATATGTTAAGCTTGTGTTGGCAATTTGAATCACTATATGGTTAGCTTGTGTAGGCAAGTGGAACCACTTTATGTTTAGCTTGTGTAGGCAAGTGGAATCACGATATGTTTAGCTTGGGTTGGCAAGTGCAATCACTGTACATTTATCTTGTGTAGGCAGGTGGAATCGCTATATGTTGAGCTCGTGTAACCAAGTGGAATCACTATATGTTTAGTTTGTGTAGGCAGGTGGAATCACTATATGTTTAGCTTGTTTAGGCAAGTGGAATCACTATATGTTTAGCTTGTGTAGGCAGGTGGAATCACTATATGTTAAGCTTGTGTAGGCAAGTGGAATCACTATTTGTTTGGCTTATTTAGGCAAGTAGAAACACTATATATGTAGCATATGTAGGCAGGTGGAATTACTATATGTTTAGTTTGTTTAGGTAAGTGGAATCACTAGCGGTTAGCTTGTGTAGGCAAGTGGAATCACTATATGTTTATTTGTTTAGGCGCGTGGAGTCACTATATGTTTAACTTGTGTAGGCAAGTGGAGTCACTATATGTTTAGCTTGTGTAGGCAAGTTGAATCACGATATGTTTAGCGTGTGTATGCAGGTGGAATCACTATATGTTTAGCTTGTGTCGGCAAGGTGAATCACTAAATGCTTTGCTTGTTTAGACAAGTATAATAGCTATATGATTAGTTTGCGTAGGCAAGTGGAATCACGATATGTTAAGCTTGTGTAAGCAGTTGGAATCACCATATGTTTAACTTGTGTAGGCAGGGGGAATTACTATATGTTTAGCTTGTGTAGGCCAGTGGAATCACGATATATTTAGCTTGTGTATGCAAGGGGAATCACTATATGTTTAGCTTGTGTAGGCAGGTGGAATCACTATATGTTTAACTTGTGTAGGCTAGTGGCGTCACTATATATTTAGCTTGTGTTGGCAAGTTGAATCGCTATATGTTTACCTTGTTTTGGCAAGTGGAATCACTATATGTTTAGCTTGTGTAGGCAGGTGGAATTACTATATGTTTAGCTTGTTTAGGCAAGTGGAATCAAGATATGTTAAGCTTGTGTAGGCAGATGGAATCACTATATGTTTTGCTTGTGAGGCAGGTAGAATCACTATATTATGTTTAGCTTGTGTAGACAAGTGGAATCACTATATATTTACATTGTGTAGACAAGTAGAATCACTATATGTTTGACTTGGTTAGACAATTAGAATCACTAAATGTTTAACTTGTGTAGGCAGCTGGGTTATAAATATATGCGGACGGCACTTGCAAAACAAAACAAACCTTTTGGCTTGCGTTCCTGTTGCAAGCCTGGTGTAGCCGACTTAAATGGCTATTTAGTTATTCACCAATGAATGCGATTAGCAATATGTTTAACCAAGCAGAGACACGCATTAGTAAAACTTATAATTATGTTATTTTTTTTCTTTATAGGTCATATATACGAAATATCTTATTCTTAACTGTTTAAACTAATCCATTATAAGGCGAAAGCAAAAATTTTATAGATGTCATCTGTCATGATTGTAAATATTGTACTGGTAACAAAGAGAATGTTTGTTTTACTAATTGTTGTAGCGTTTTAAGTTATTTTTTTATTTCATAGGCATGAAATTTGCCTATGGATTTGTAATTTGAAACGGGTAATAATAAACATACAAAGTACCTACCACCTGTTTGACTATGTACTAATAATTACAATAACAACAATTCTTACTACAATAACTCATGTACAAGAATAAAATATATCATCACAGTTCTATCTATTATAAAGCATGTATAAACAATATAATCAAACATGCAAGAATGTTATTTGACTACGATTGTGATGGGGGCGAGCGTTCTTGCAACCTGATGAACATAATATGTCATCATGATTCATACTCGCTCTGGTAAGTGTAGTATTTATTATTAATGCATTTATTTATTTAAGAATATAATATACTTTTGTCCCATGGTGCTTTTTTCATAATAATGTATAAATAAGTCATACTTAGTGATTGAAAATTATATAAAAACACCGATTTTATTTGCCGCGCCCGATTTGCTTTATAGTTTATTTGATCCATGTTGTTAATTATTCGCGTTGTTAATTATTGAAGACCCATGGGTATATGTCTTATGCTGTTGATAAGCAGACGACTTTTTACGACATAAATACATACAAAAATTTATGCCCTATTGTAGTGTCAGCCCTACTAGGCCGTATTGAACACCGAAGTGAACAAAGTGTGCACCCTAGTTTTTGTAGTGTTGCTTATAGATTATTTGTATAATATTATATGATTGTGTTATATCTATGTATTTATAAGTGTATTTGTTTTATCTCGGGAAAGGGCTTTACTGCCGCCTGATGCACAGACGCTTGGGGGTCAGATCCTGTCCCCAAACGTGATACGCCCCTATTAACATTCTATTAAACTATTTTAATATTTAAACACGAATGGGACATCTATTACAACGATAAAAATGGTTTTCAAACAATTTTTACATATGTGAAAAAAAAACCCGTATACTATCAAGTCTCAATAAAGTACTTGAAATTA